CATTCATTTGTTGAACTCGAAACAGTTCTGAATCAGAAACACATTGATCGTGTCTCGTGCTACCTTTGGAATCAACCTTACCTGTATCTTCATATACAAGAGCACAACATTCTATCATTTTCTTAACAGTTTCATTACATTTTTCATTAATTAGTTTTTCCCTATCATGGTTAAGTATTTCGTCAAAATTTTCAGTTTCATCAAAATGCATTTCAACGAAACTATCATTAGTAATGTTTACATTTTTGCATTCAAAATTAAACTTTCGTTTATCATCTCCACTTAGCTGATTAAAAGCACTTAACGGCAAGAGTAAATCATTACATAACTTATCCACCAATGCACATGTTATAAAAATAGGTGACACAAGTTTATCATCTTCAGAATACATTACTAAAGGTAGGTTAATAAGAGGAGCTTTTAAAGATTGTCCGAAAGCTGACGTGAGGATAACACTTCCATGTGGCGTACGGTATTTTTCTGGTACAATGTCAGCCTTGACAACGGTTAATTGTGTGACTGTATCTGCTACTGCATTAATAAATTTACCATCACATGTAAGTTTAACAGTTGGCAAGTCATCTATTAATTCCTTAACTTCTTGATTCACAGTAAAATATTTAGAAGAAATCTTTGCTGTTACGGCGTTAGAATTATTCTTAATTTCTTCCTTAGCAACCCTTTTCCTTATCTTCATGCAACAATATATTATGATACTTAGAATTACATTTTGAACATTTTAATTGAGAAGGACAATTTTTTTGTTCTACAGTTCCTTTCAAAACAAAGAAAGCACCGATTAGAAGCTTTTTAAACTTTTTTTTTTTTTTTTCTTTCTTCCAGGGATATAAAGCATTTTTCCAAAACATGATTTCCGCTTTCACAAAATATGCAAGGAAACGTTTGAACAGCTGCAATTTGCTTACATTAGGGGAATAGCTGGCACTAAATTTGTTGGCGTTTAATGAATTCCGAGTGTGGAAGTTGTTTCGCTTTTCATTGGGTTGAGAATGCTTTTCGAGAGAATCAGCATAACTCTTAGAATAAAATTAATTCGTTCACGACTTTCAATTTCCTGTTTTAGAAATTTCATAACATCGTCGACATTAAAATTTTCCTTATCTGCATTTTGATGAGCAAAATCAAGCGTTATATCCTGAGGTACACATTTCATTAATAAAGGGTACAGTAAATTTCCGTATGATTCGGTTTTGATTCCTATTGAATTTAGTGACCTTACATGTAGATTGCAGGTGTCATATAATTCTCTCAAAGGATTAATATCATTAGAACTTCGGACAGGTCATAAATTTAAGTAACAATTAATAAGGAGACCATATCTGTCTTTAAGAATTTTAAAAGCTTCGTCGTAGTTTTCTGGCGATAAAGAAAAACTTTCTATCGTGTTTAAAGCTGCACTGCCTAACAGGTAATTAAATTTATCCACTTTAGTAGTTTTTCATTTTGATTTATTGCAGTGTCAAAAGAATTGTAAAATGTTTGCCACACTTCAGCATTTCATAAAATTTATCAATCATAATCTTTGGCAATTTAACATTATAATCAGAACTTTTATCAACACCAGAAGTAGATAAATTGTTACTATCATTAGAAGAACTATTAGAAACTAGTGAATTATTGCTATTTCTTTTTTCTTTCAATAATTTTGTGCCTCTAAAACTCCATTTCACAATCTTTTCTTCGTATTCCAAGGCACTTCCGACTTCGGTTTCAATGTTATTAACATCAAGTCAGAGTTTTAATTTTTTCATCTAATGCTCTCAAAGAAATAGCTTTTACTTTTAACATTTCCAGTGATTCTTCTAGGTGTTCAAAGTTACCGGCTGCAATTAATGATTCAGTAGAATTTGTTACTTTAGTAAAGGCTGAACGAATAACTTTCTGTTCTTTCTTAGATTTCGTTAGCTCTTCAGCCATTTCTGTAACCTTGAATTTCACTTTACCACAAAATAAATTGAACAAAGTACTTCTTACCTTTTTGAAGACTCATTTATGCATTTACTCGTTAACTTTGAAGAATGACATATCCTCCTTTTCTGGCATCACTGTCATATTCTGCTTCTTGGGCATGTAGGTTCTGGATATACATTTAATTCCTAATGTAGAAGTATCGTAATGTGGGCATTGCATAAAACAAAACATTTAACAGCACAAAGACTTTATTAACACATGCAAAACAAGAACAAAACGATTAACACAAAAATAGAATGACGTTTATCATCACGCTGTCATACAGCGGGTTGCCTTCGTTACTTCACTACTAACTACTCTTCTCTATTAAGTCACATGAGAGAGAGGCGTTGCAGGCCATTCAGCTAAACTGCACATGCATGGTCATCACGTCATGACAAACAACATAGTTAAATTTTGTTAAATCCAAAGTTACATTGGAAAGGGAAAACTGTGATTCTAATATAACAAACCATAATGGAGGAGGAATTGTTTTCCAAAAAGGCAGTAGTTCTACTGAAACATGCGATACCTGCGTGGCTGCTATATTTTCAGTTCGAAAATCATCAGTTGAATTTTCGTTACATGACATGACTGTTAAATTTAAAGAAGCTGTATGATTCTAATGGCAAACACAAAAACATCAATACTAAAGCATGGTATAAAGGATAGATCTATCACCATCAGGGATACACACGAGAATGAAAAATTTGAGACTTAACAAAATGCAAAATATTCACCTCGTAAAAATACACTGTACACAACATTATCAATAAGGAAAAACTGAGGCCAGTGAATGCCAAGAATATATGATAAATTATCTTCAAAAAATACAATTTAAAGATATTCTAAGAAATTAAAAGTCCAATAAAATTATCAGTTAAAAATCTTTTTTATTTTGAAAGCACTTACAGATTTAAAAAAAAAAAAAAAATCCAAAAAAAAATAATTTAATCTTCCCGGCACTGAAAAGCTGATAATTTAAAAAGGTGATCCATTTTCGACACCGACACACATTGACGGAAACCTTCACCAAAATATTCTTGAGAATCATTTGTACTAACATAATACTGCCGTGAAATCACAAAATCTATCCAGGTTGCTTAAAAACTTCCTTAAGCAGTACGCAAAACTGCAGCATTCCTCATTTTGGATAAGTTCTGGAGAGAAGCCAGATAAGCATCATCCATACAAAATACATGGGTGAAATTGGAACCAGTGCAGTGTCAAGGCAGGTAGGTATAGCTGCAAAGTATACACGCAGTTCTTACTTTAGGTCACCAAACATCGCGATGTTTTATCACCATTAAGCCCGTATCACACAAAGTTTGTTTAACTCGAACAACTGTTTCGGACAATTTTTTTCACTAGTTTACTATTGAAAGAAAGACGTGCGACTTTTTCCTTCCTTTCCAAAAAAAATTGCAAGTTGTTCGTTTTCAACCAATCAGCTATTAGCTTGTTTGTAATGGGGAACCAGTTTTCCCTGTGTTAACCTCAAAGCGATGTATGGTGATTGGCTGTTGTGACAAAGCAGAAAAATTGTTCCAAACAGTTTTTCTTCCGAAACAAACCGCCGTGCGATAGCCTTAGAGTTCATCAAAAAGTCATTAGGAAAGCGTAAAAATCACAAATTTCAGCTAACATTTAAAACCAACTTTAACATTTAAAAAAGGAAAGAATATCTTGCAAGAGGCTAAATATTTAAACTTTTACTCGCACAATCCAACATCAGACATCGACCACGAACAGGCAGAAAAAGGTGAGAAGGAAGTAGCACGTGAGTCTTGGCGAAAGAGTTCATGTTTTTATTCTCATGCTATGGTAAATACCTATGCATATTGCACAGGAAGGATGAATATTACTATCACTGCAATGATGATTTTGGCCGTAAAGTGATTTAATAGACATTTAGATGATACCAGTTGTGAGATTCCATCCCAAAGCAACACCTTTAAAATTGCAAACTTTGTAAATTGCTGTTGAGCTTTCATAATCAGGTTGTGCTGAGAATTAATTGTAGGGCTTTACAAGCTACGAATTCAGAAATCAGTTAGTACAAAGTAATTGGTGTGCATCAATTGTGGATTTTGATGACATAGGAGGTCACATCGTCAAGAAAGAATTGCACCTATAAGAGAGTTTTTTGAAGATTTTGTGAATAACTGTAAGAAATATTACACTGTTAGTGTGTTCGTACTAATGATGAGAACAATTGATGATAAACTTGAAGCTTTCAGAGGAAGATGTGCTTTCAAGCAGTATATTCCTAATAAACCTGAATTAACCTGATAATGATAAAATGAATTCCTAATAAATTCTATATTAATATAATTCGTTTTTCTATTACTTTAAAAATTTTGTTTCATAAAAAATATAAAAAATTTTAATATTTATAATTTGCATATTTTTAAGTTTGATGATAAAATTTTTGCATAAATGTAACACTTTAACCTGAAGAGTAAGTTTTTTCTTCAAAGAAACACGAACCGGGTCTTTTGGACCTAAAGTATGCGCTCATGTAACTCAAAAGAGTGCGTGCGCTCCTGGGTTAATACCTATTTAAGGCTTTTATAATCAAAGATTACTGCATTTTCAGTGAAGGAAACATGCTGGAGGATAAAATATCTATTATTAGTTCTGTTGTATTTGCTTTGTTTGATAACATTGCAGTATGTTATAAAGCATACTTTTTTTTTAATTCATTGTTTTACTTTGCACTTTTGGATTATAAATATGTAGAACATAAATTACTTGAGAGAAATCAGATGAGAACTGATTTTCTTTCTCTTCCAAAAGTTTAAATAAGTGTGTAATTTTAAGATTGAAAAGTATTATACAGTTTAACTCCTGTTGATTTATTTAAGACTTTGAAATAGATATTACTATGTAGTATATTATCATTATTGCAAACAATAATATGCTGTTCTTATTGCATTATAGTATATTGTTAATCTATTAAGCTGAAGACTAGATGATTAACTATGCTTACTGATAAATTGCTATTATATCAATGTATTTTATTTTAGTTTATTTAGTCGTCAGCAGCCTGGAAGATCCCCTCCTCCAAAAGAAAATGACAAGTCAAAGAAAATCAGTCGAAAGAGGGACAACAATTGAAATCAAAATGTGTTATCGATGTAAATTTGATCAGCTAACTAAAGCATGAAATTTTGCCTTTTCTCATTTATTCATATTTTGTACATGAACTTTGTAACATTGTACTTTCTTGCCATCCATTTTGCATTTCTTTGACTTCCAGCATATGAAAGTTAACATTTCTCATAGTAGATGAATGTCAGAAGGAATTGACATTATCTTAAAACGGTTGAAACTGACATTTATCTCACTTCTTAGAATTATCTTTTGCCTCAACTTCGAATTGCTAAGTTAGGAACTCTGAAGTTTTATAATTCACATTTCACCATACTCAAAATATTCATTTTAAGTATATGACTGATAAAGTTGTAAATATTTTATATATATTTTTTTTTTTTTATAAAATATTTTTTTGCTAAACTGTTGAGAACTATTTCATGATATATTTTTATTTATACACTGCCATATTCATATTTTGTGAGGGATTGCAGTTATATAATTGAAAAGCTCTTGATGCGTATGTTCAGATGACAGTATAATTATCATGCTACAAACTTGCGTACATTTTAAAAAAATTGAACAGAAATAAGTTATTTAATAATCCTTAGAAAATATAATGTTACTTGCATAATTTCATTTACTAAATAAGTCAAGTATGATGAGAGCTTTAGTGTTGTGTATTAATTTTTTTTTTTTTTTTTTTCCATTTGAAATTGTTTTGACTCTCACTTTTTAAATGTTTGAAATCTTAATATCAAAAGTAATGAAACAGTAATAACATATATTTAACTACAGCATATTTGAGTTTTATATACAAATGAGAAAGGAAGGTATATTAAAGAGATGTGTTAACCACTCAGTATTTAAATATAATGCTCAGAGCAGCTCTTAGATATTGTTTATTTTTTCCTTATTAGCAAGCTAAGTTTGTTTATTCATGATTTAGCTGAGGTAAATTCACTGGCTAATTCTTTATCATGTTGCAGATACCGTTTTGTTTTCAGTGGAACATTTTTCTGTTTAAATCTGATCATGATTTTAAGTTTTACATTCCTAATTTATGTACTTCTGTGTTAGCTTAATTCAATTATGTATGAAGAATTATATATCAAATGTTACTATATAAAATTAAATATGTGTTCAGATTTTGCAATAGGGCAAAATATAGTCTTATACTGACAGTTTTATAGAAAAGCTGTGTGCATTTTTACATTTTACTCTAAAACTAGCATCAGTATAACTTTTTATTTTTAACAAATTTTAAATTTCAAGCTGGCATATTTCTCTGTCATCTGTATCAGCTCTTTCTCACCCCCTAAACTTAAAAAAAGTATATATGTTTGTTAAATTGTAGCTGGTTATTGTGATTTAAATAGTCATGCCCTGCAATAAAATGTATTTTTCACAATTGGTGTTTGAAAACAATCATCATAACCTGTTGTTATTTACAAAATTTTGCTTTATTTTAGAGTGTTATTTATGTTAATGCTTCTTATATTTATCTGGTGTTGTAGCTTTCCATTACTGCTAAGAATTGTTTCATGTTGATGCTTTGCCATAACATTTTTAATAGTAATTGCTATATAAGTTTAAGAAATTGACTTTTCAAAGCTTTGAACTATAGTTGAGAAAAATATTTTCAAATGGTTGCAACTAGAATTAAGTGTTAGATACGAGTAATTAATCAAGTTTCATATGTATAAGAAATAAATGTGTTGTGTGCCATATTTAGCACTGAATGAAGCTTTTTATATCAGGGGAAAATTCCCTTTATGTAAACATTGCAAAGATAGCATTAGGAATAAATCAAGTATTTTATTATAAACCAAAAAGATTTTACTGGTGCTGTGTACTTTCATACAATTGTAAATGACTATTTTTATAATAATGTGTTACTGTATATATATAGAGAGAGAGAGAGAGGAAAGTTTTCATCAGGTCTGATGCCATTAAATTATATATTTCTGAAAACTGAAATTATTTTGTTAAAAGATCTTAAATTTCTAATGTATGTAAATAAGAGGGTTTTTGCATTTAAAGTATATTTAAATAATTTCTTATTCTTTTTAATATCAAAAGAACTACCAAATTTGGCATTTTGCTTATCACACTTATTACAGTGTGTATATATGTTATATATTTCGCTTATTGTTCTTACATTGAGTCAACTTTTTAGACTTTATGTAGATTTGCCTTGAGTAGTAATTTGTTACACCTTAAGTATATTATTTATTACTACTCACTATTATTCATATTGTACAAGATTGTTCTTGTGGGTTGTAGTGTGACATTAACTATTATCCAATCAGTGTTTATTGCAAGATTATTCATTTTTCATTTTATTAATATTATCTAAACATTTGAAATGATAAACTGATTAGTTACCCTTTGCAATATATTTTCAGTACTTGTTACAAAGAAGAAAAGATTTTTCAACTTACATAGTGTTTGCAAACCCATCATTTTAAAGTAGCTTGTCATATCATTTAAATTTTTCAGTACACTATCTTACAAAAAAGGGATTTAGGTGCAAGTCCATCATCTTTGATTTTCCATCAATTCTCCAACTTCTGTGCATTAGATTAAATGACAATTCTATAATTTGGTTTCTTCAAATCTGATGGTGTTTTCTACTCATCTGTGGTTAGTGTAAAAGATTTATTATTATTCTTACTAATCAGAGTTCTATATACTGGTGAGCTATGAAAATTATGAAAAAAGTAAAATATCACAAAATAGCACAGAAATTATATAAAATAGAAAGTTTTAATTATGGGGCACAGTTTATGCCAGAAATTGCCGCACATTTTTTCCTTCGCTATTCATTCTAACAAACATTAAAAATTGTTGAACTCTTCACCATTTTCGTTTTTTATTTTATAATGCTGCATATTAATTATTTATGGTGCAATAATTTGACACAGACATTGTAAAGCAGTTCAATAATTTTTCTTGCTGTAATTTTTGAAATTTATTCTTTTTTTTTCAATCATTCATGCTTGAAATTCTTTTGATTTTAACATAGAATTAATTAGTTGTAAGGTATCTAACTATGTTCTAATCACAGATTTGGAGAAAGACAGGTGGTTCACAAATTAGACAAATTTTAATAAAAGCCTTGCACAAGTTTCCTCTAGCTCACAGATAGTTCAAGAAGTGAAGAAAGCTGCTGCTGAAGGCAGTGGAATGTTCTTGTAAAAAAATTATGCAACAGAGTGCCACTCTTGTCAACACTATACGTAGCTTGATACATACGTGCTTTTGATAAGAAGCAATCACTTTCTTGGTGAATCATGTATCGTTTGAGCATCATTCAGACAGCTGGCATAGAACTAGTTTTCGCAGTGCCAATCAGATTGTCTTTTAGAAAGGCAAAGCAAATTTCCAGTATCTTTGGTTTCCAGTAACCTCAAGAATCCAGAGATTCGCATGTGCAGTGCATGTTGATCCAAAGTTAATCCCCCCCTCCATTCTCATATAAAAAATCTTTTAAACCCTTTCTTATTTCTTAAATTCTTATTTGCCATTGTGTAGTAAAATAAAAAAAATTATAATCAGTCATTTAGGTTAACCATGTAATATATCTGTATTTGCCAAAATACCGTTGATTTCTGTAATTCAGTTTTTAACCCTTGAGTAATTAACTTTATTTTAATGTTATTCGTATAATTTAACGTGTCCTCTTTTCTTCTAAATTTATTTATTATTAGCTAATAATACTTTCAAATTTCAGGCAATTTTCTCTGGCATACTCGTGAAATTAATTCTAGCCGTAATATGACATACCTTCACAAAATTTAGTGCTTATATTTTTTACATATGTATGCTGCTAAATAAATATAAAATACTTGAATTAATTTTAAAATATCATTAAATAGATTTCTTTCTTCCTTTAGCTTCAAAATGTCTGCAGAAAAGACATTTTTAAATCCCGACTGGGCGGATTCTAATCTCAATCCTCAGTGGAGAAAACCACTCCTATTATAGTTATAAAAGTCATATGTAATTGGCAAATTTTTGTGTTTTCAAGTGGTGCCATAAATAATTTACCCTCAGCACAGTATGCGTATAGCCTGGAATTTTCTTGAAACACAACTGGGAAAGTCAGGGAATTTCATTCTCCTGTTTGAGTGGCAATGCTGTATATATCTCTATTGTACAATATTTTGATTGCAGCTTCTTCATATTAGCATCCTTAATTAAATTTTTACACTAGCCATTTATGAAAAATCTCTCTTAATTGTTTCTGTGTATAAAGTAGATTATTTTCCTTATCATTTCTTGTATTTAGAGATTTATTACTTGAGTCATCTAAGCAGGACGATTATGTGAATTTCTTCAGAGATATGTAATCTTTGTGTCAGTGTTTCTGTGGATTGAAATTTCCAAGGTTCTTTAACCCTTTGATGCGCGGTGGTTGCGCCCTGAAACCACCATTTTCTGAATTTTTTTTCTTCTCTTTTTTCCGAAATTTTTGAGTGAAAATGAATTGATTCCTGATCTTTTACATCTAAATAACACAAAATGACTGTAGAATCATATATGTTTTGGGTATTAATATTTCAGATCGGATGCTTTTAAAATTCGTTTTTGATGAGACAAAATAACTTCCTTTTATTAATATAAACAACTTTAAATTTCAAAAGTTAGTCATCGCATATCATGATTTCTATCATAAACAATAAAAAATTGCAGTAATTAAACTGCATATATAAAAAAATCCTCTATATGTATGGCATTTGCTATGTGGTTTCAGGGCGCGACCGCTGTGTTACAATCCTCTAGAGGCTCGGTGGTCACGCCTTGAAACCACTGGCATTTGCTTTTCAATGGCGTTCGCTTGCTTTTCAAATAGGAATGTTTATTTTTACCCGGATATAGATAAAGGGCTTTGAAACCCCAGAGTTATTTTATCACTAAACAATACATGCACCTGCCCAGTAAAAAGGTATTTCTTTTCCAAATACTTTTCTCTGACATCAACACACTTGCTCCCCAAGCTAGTATTGTGATTTTATAAATTATTTCCTGTGGTTTAAATTTAATGTAAATATACTTTGCTATAATTAAAAATAGAAACTGCGTAAAAGTTTTATTTAAATTAGAAATATTTTCTGAATATTTTGGGACGAAATACGAAGAAAATAAGTTTGAATGGGAAACGAACAATCTGTACAAAGCCAAAAAGACCAAGCCCCCCCCCAATTAACATAAAAAACCACAAATTTCATGTGCCAGATGAAAAGAAACTAAATAATTCTGGACATATACCAGTGAAATTTAATCCAGGCAGTGTACATTTTGTAGCACAAAGAGAAACCTCATGGACAAGATTATGTGTGAATTGCAATTGTGTCTAATGCATGTACCAAAGAGAGAAAACATGCTTTGAATATTGTCACAAAAAAATTTGTTCTTGAAATTAAAAAAAACACAGAGTTCTTTTTATCCTTATTTTTATTGAGTTTTTAATCCATTTATCCAAATGTCCTTATTATGTAGGTACTTATATTTTCACTGCTATAGAAAAATTACATAAATGTTTATTTTTTAAATTTTTTTCTGATGATTTACTTTGTAAAATAATGTAAAAAAATGATATATAATGTAATTCTTACATACACTTTTTTAAAATCCATAAATTTCGTCATTTATTGGAAACGCTTGTGGAAAATGGCAAGTGTTTTTTTTCCTACTACATCAGTAAATTTCAAAGTCAGCGCGACCACCACCCACAGAACAATGGGCAAGAGTTTTTAGCTAAAAAAATTATAAAAATAATATTGTGCATGTCAAAGGGTTAATGCATTATGCATAAGAAAAGTTGAGTACTATTTTATTCCATCTTGTCTGTTTCCATAGTAGTTTCTTCCTGTTTAAAAATTCATGTGAAATTATTAATAAATTTTATATACTCTGATAAAGCTTTTCCATTTTCCTGAAAATTTTTGGATTGAATTTTATGATGCAGCTATGCAAAATACACAATGGCTATCTACTTAAGTGTAATTCCAATTTTTATTGAGAATCCTTTGGTTTCTTATCCTTCAGCCCTTGCCACTGACAGGACTTTTGGGTTGAAAGATTTTCAATGCTCCATTCTATGCACACACTAAAATAACAAATGTGTATGCCTTTTTTTGGATTTAATACTCAAGCTCCATTGACTTTATAGGCAGCCTTTGCAAACCATCTTACATAGCATGGCAACTTCTCTTTGAATGTAATCTCTGTTATATGTAAAATGTTAATTTATGACCGCATTTGTAAGCTAGTTTAGTAGTCAAAACTTTTCCACAATTTTTCTTAAGTTTGATTTGGTATTTCGTTGATATATTAATTTTATTTTAAAGTGGAAAGTGTTATTCATGTAAGGTTTTATGTGAAAGGCTGTAGAAATTCAGGCAGATTCATGGCTTTTGCTGTAGAATCTCTTGTAATTGCAGATTTATTAGAAGTACCTCCCTCCTTTTTCAGAAATAGTGTCATTTTATAATTTCCAGGTTCTGTTGCAGGAGTGTTTTATGAACTGAAGAAATATATTTTGAAGAATAATTAAAAATTTCTACATTCTGAAGTATTGGGCCCATTTACGTATTAACTCTCACCGTGTTTCATAGAAGATAAGCTTATATTAATGACAACTAAAATAATTCGTCTTATTTCAAATGTCAAATCTGCTATATTAAGAGAACTGTTCAAGTTCTTGGAAAACAGAAAATGTATAACCACTCTTTGTTTTTGACATTTGTATTGCTTTTTTTTTTTTTTTTTAACATTCAGTTTTATGCAAAAAAACAGCACATATTGACTGTTGGAACATTTTGAGCTT